GACAGTGACTCTTTGCTGCCTGTTGAATAAGTAGCTTTGAAACCAAAGAAGTTAATCTCCACGAATTCCTGCAGATGACAATTTAGTTATGAGTCCTTTGTGCCATACCCGATCAAAAGCTTTGCTTATATCACAAAATACAATTCTATTTCCTTTCCATTGTCTATTGCTTCACAGAAAGAATTATAAATAACTGATAGTTGGTTTATAGTTGAGTCGCCTTGGCGGAAACCAGACTGATATTCTGTTAAAATGTTGTTTGCTAATAAGATGAATATATACGTGTTTGTAAACAGCTTTTTCTAAAACTTTGCTTAGGGAACAGAGAAGTGAAATTGGTCTATAATTACTAATTACATTGGTCTCATTCTTTTTATGAACTGGACATACGTTTGCAACCTTCCATTGAGTAGGAAAAGTACCGATAGACAAAGAATAATTGAAAATATCTGACAAAGGAACAGCTAATTGAGACAATATTTCTTTTAAAACGCGATTGTTTTTTAAATCAGGACCAACTGCTTTCCCAAGTGGTAGTGTTCGTAATAATGGTTCAATATCAGATGGTTCAAAGTGAAGTGATGATAGAGTTGAGGAGAAAGAATAAATTGGTGGAATGGGTTGCCAATCAGGTTTGTCAAGAAATGTTTGTTGAGCGAAGAAGTGGTAGTGTTCGTAATAATGGTTCAATATCAGATGGTTCAAAGTGAAGTGATGATAGAGTTGAGGAGAAAGAATAAATTGGTGAAATGGGTTGCCAATCAGGTTCGTCAAGAAATGTTTGTTGAGCGAAGAAACGATTGAAGGCGTCCGCCTTTTCCTCGTTGTCATATAGAATATTTGAGTCATTGAGCAGTGGAGGAATAGATCTTATTTGACTATAAGGGGAGATAAACATTTTAACTGTGGCCCACCATGATTTATTTGATGTTTTATTAGTGAGAGTCTGCGTTTATTTGGCTTTATATTCTGATTCAGCATCTCTAATAAGGGAAACTATTTCATTTCTAAGTTGGCGGAATTTCGACCAGTCCGAAGTTCGATTATGGAGTTTAGCTTGTTTGAAAAGACGCTTGCGTTTGCGTATAAGTCGTTTTATTTCACCTGATATCCACTGTGGTTCTGTGGGTCTGATGGTGATTAACCTGTTAGGAATATATTGGTAAGAAAATTTAAATATGGTAGATGTAAATGCAGAGACCCATTGGTAAATATCAGTGTTACGAATGGTCTGCCAATCAAATTGTTCTAAAGAGTATCTCAATGCATTCTTAAAGAACAAAATAACAAATCAAGAAACATACCATGATAAATATCTTAAATTTAATTGTCTATCTTCAATTTTTGGCATGACCATTCATCATTTTGGTGACATTTCTAAAAAAGTACTTTCTGAATAACGAACAACGTAGACGATGATTAGATGACTATACACCGAATAAATTGTCGCCAACTAGATTTAGGTTAAAGTACAAGAATACGCAAGATATGAATGAATACACCGTGATTACATGAGTGTTCAACATGAACATGAACATGGTGAACACCAAACAAAAAACAGAAGAAGAGGGCTAAGCGCGGACGGGGTATTATTGTAAATAATTCAAAGTAGGAAATTATAGAAACAAACAAGGAAATTAAAGAAGATTATTATTCTAAAGGGCAACATAATGATAAAGGTGCAGGGTCGGAAATAGGGAGGGGGAGCAGAAATGGATAAAAGAAAAACGGGATGATACAGTGAGTTCGGTGCGATAGTTCAAATCGGAGATTAAGAGTGATCCCTAGGATCCAATGAAAACAATAGTATTGTATGCAAAGTGTCCGTCTTATTCCGGCATTGTCACATGTGCTGTGGGGAGCAACAAAATCTATACATTTGAAACATTAAAAGTTTTTTTTCATTATGCTGAAATCAAATGAAGAATTACAAAAATGAACATCAAACAGCTGCTCTTGGAAAATAGCAAAGTACTTGACATGCATAATTTTACATGCGATAATTTATTTAATATAATTTAATATATTTGTTTCATATATGCTCTAAAGTCATTCACTTCTCACGGTCGCATATTTACATACACAGGGTTCCCTCTGGGTCAAAATTAGTTTGCGCCACCAAATTCGCCAATCAGAAAAAGTTGGAGCCAATGGCTCCAAAGTTGTAGCCAATAATTCTGCAAGGGATACATGCCTATCTTTACTAAGATATGCTAGCAGTTATATATCATTATGATTACAAACACATATTTATAATATTTCATTTTATTACAGCTGCACATGTTTATTATCAAAAATATAGACAAAATATTATTTGGTTTTCAAATTCCATTTAAATAAATACACATGGCAGCATAAATGTAATCAAGAACATCATGTGAAGTTAGTCATGGGAGGTCCTGTTTTCCACCGTTTGCCAGTATAGCAGTTCTTCTCACAGGCTGGACTGAGCCAAGATCTTTCCCAACTTCTACCCGACAATCTGGTGATCTGCAGATACAAAATAAAAAAAAACATTACTATAAATTGACTTCATCTAAAAATCAATGAGAACAAAATATGAAATAGACACTAAGTATTTTTAACAATGAAAAATATTGTTTATTTTGATAGGGTTTGCATGTGAATAGACACTTCAACACTTTACAATCAGATATGAAAATATTAACATTGCAGTAACAGTGGCTTTAGATCAATCATTAGTGAAATTATTCTTTTAATTGTCATCCGATTTAATATTCAAACTGTAATTATTTTTAATCAGTTGACGAGTCAACTTACCTAAAGTTCAATGTTTGTCAACATCATGGACGATCTTTCGCTTCTCTGTTCGCTACTAACACCTGTTGACAACACATGTAATTATCAGTGCTCCAAGTCAGAGAATGAAAGACGTAAATTGTTCCAATTAACACATTAACACTTTCATCTTCACATGTTCCCGAAGTGTCACAGAATTGATGACATAGATGATTATACGGTACCCTATTATACAGTTTGATAAACAAACTAATAGTGCGTGACCTTACACATTTGGGCCGCTTATGTAGTTGACGCGGCCGCTTATGTCCTTGTCCGTTGAATAAATAACTCCCAAATCACTTGGAATCTTATGATCTATTGACAATGTATCCATCACACTTCAAAAAATAGGGTTATCTAATAATTATTGGCAATGTCTTTATCAAGTTTCACAAATATTCTGTTATCGATGGAATAAGGATTTTATACAGGGTATCGCTTAGACATTGACCTAATGAGACATTAATAAGATTCGTCTTATGGCCAGAGCAATGTCTTTAAAAAGTATTGCTTTTTATCAAATAATATTGGTCATATGCTATACACACTAAGTCATAGAAATGTAGACTAAAGTGGTCTGATAATTGTTAAGTGACCAATGTTTCGGTGACCTTTAGTATTTAATCTACTAACCTCAACATTTAAAGAGGTCATCTATTAGTCACAAACAACCTCCATCTTTCATATAAGGACTGTATACCAAAGCGTTTCAGTGGTCCCAGGAATCTTAACTTTGAACTACTGAGCTCAAAATCAATCAACTACGAGCTATTGGCAATGTCCATAACAAATTTTATTGACTATCCTATGCTTATTACTTCTCAGTTACTTGTCAAAATGACCTGACAAAGATAACAGGACCTACAAACGAATGAGCCACAACATCACAGTATGCTTCCTTGGTTAAAGTAAGGGGGTGTAGAATTTCGATACATTCAGTTAGAAAAATTATGGTCGACTTGACATAGCACTGTAGGCAGCCATACTGTTTTTGGAAAATAGTTCCTACCTATTTTAGAAAAGTAAGAAGAGGTTACAACAAGTGCACAACATGCGGTCATATTACTTGTTTGATAAAAGCCACGACTAAAATAATTGAGTTTTATGATACTTAGTTTATATTAGTACTCATAAACTAAAAGTAGAAACTGGAAGATATCTAAATATTACTGTCAAAGATAAAATTCGGAAATGCTATCTATTTCAAGATATTGAAACGGAAGAACACTTTATAGTAAGATGTTAATTTATGATTTTGAAAAACTCTCTTAATATCTCGTATATTTGAAACGGAAACAAACTTTAAAACTCCAAAAAGTAAGAATAAGTATAATGTTTATTGAGAATAATAGTATTGTTTATCTTGTAACAAACTTTGTCCATAAATGTTTTTGTCTAGACTCGAATTTCTAAAAAACGTTGCATCTGGCTGAACTTATATAGCGGATCATTATATTTGGCTTACTAGTATTCACACCGTCTCCTTTATTCACTGTTATCATTTAACATATGCTTTAGTGTCTTATTGTTACAAAGTCTTTTGTTTATTGTGTTTGCTTATCATAATTAAGCTTAAGTCATGTTTTGTCTTAAGTTCTGTGCATCTTGTACAGTATCATTATTATGCGATAATATGCCTATAAAGGTCATGGTTGGATTTTTTTTATTCTATTCTAAAATTTATTTATTCTATGGCTATTATGCACTTCGCTTTTCAATAAGTTGAAAAACTTTGTGAGTGTAAATGTTCAAAATATTGGTATTAATGACAATCGTATGATTATTTTCAGCGTGGAAAAAATGCCATTACTCTAGAAATACTGCTTATTTAGTTATGTATTCTGTACTACAGATGTACCTTGTCCTCATTATCAATACAATTTGATAGTTTTTTAATACAGCTCTCAATAACCAATTTGTACAAATATTCAATATTAAATAAGATGAATATAGGAGCACAACTTCTAGAGTATTGATAACGTCCCTTGTTTTTAAACTTTGCATTGTCATGACAGTTAAGTATTACAGGCTTTTGCCAGTACCTTCGATAGCTTTAAGATCGTTCTACTTTATAAGCAGCTATGCTTAAAATTGGCACATCTCTGATAATATAGCTTTCAGAAAAATGTTTCTTGTCTTGCAACTGCGAATATTTCTCGCCGACAACAACGACGACGCAGTAATCATAATAGCTTGACTAATTCTTCGAAACAGACGTGCTAAACGGTATACAATTTTAGCAACATCGCATTATTACACAATCAATTCTGTCTATATAGACTAGTTTCTGTACGTTAATAATGAATGAGTAAATACGCTGTTACCTTTATATGTACATTTCAATGTTACTTTATGACATCTCGTGTGAAATGAATACAATTTGATACTCTCTGATATCAAGTATTATCCTTATTTCTAGATTTATTTACAGCTTTTGCATGACCAATTATTTAAATATGAAAATAATGTCTTGTTGTTTAACAGGTTCGCTATATGAGGAGACGGTCCTGTTGCGACTTTTACAGAGTTCGCCGGAAGAGAAATATTATGGTGTATACAGCTGCGGTGATAATAGTTATCTTTCTTGCTTCTACACAATTTATACTAATTTCCAGTCTGACCTCTGTTTTAAAGGTAATATATCTTCCTATATATTTACACACATTTCAAGGATAATCTTTGTTTTGAGGGTAATATAACTTTTTATATACTTAAACTCCATTCACAGATAAGAAAGCCCCTGTATATTTTCACAAATTTCAAATTTAACTGTAATATGACTACCTGAAAATTTCCAAAGCATGCTAAATAATTGAAAAACAGAAATGTTTGCAATTTGTATACCCTTCAAAAACAGTACATATATACCTTATATGCTTTAACAAGTCCGTATCAATAAAGTAAAGTAAAAGTGGATCTATAATGTTTTATTGAATACTTTGGGATATTGCATTGTATATACAATAGAAAAAAGAAAAGAATCCCTACGTACGTAAGTACGCCAAAAACGGAAAATAAAAAGATTTGATTGAGCCTATTCATAGTCGGTACTGGAAAGTACAGGTTACCGTCCACGTATCTCAAGCACCGGCTTAGACATAATTCAAAATATCAACATTAAACGTTAATGGTGATACTTTGAGTTTAGAAACACCTGCATATGTCTTCATTCTTTGGTCATCATGTAACCTTCAATGTGACACGTTTGTGTCATTCTATGAAAAGTGGCATATGGTCCCAAAGTTAAAAGCGTACCATTGTGCAATCAGACCCGATACTCGTTCATTTCAAACTAGTTTTGTATATTTATATTATAGCTACTATAAACGATTTGATACTAATAATTAAACCAGGTTTTATGAACGCAAATATTTTTTTTTATTATTTCAGCAAAGTGACGTTATCGAACAACTAGAAATAAATGTAACACACTTGACAAATCGAGAAGTGACTGCAAAAAAAGTGCCATCTTATATAAAAACTAAAACTGACCGAATATATTTATTTTCTGCCATTATTGCCCATATAGAAAACGATCACGCATTAAAACATAATCAAACCCAAAATATTACTGAAGTATCTCCAACAGCTATTGTCACTGGATGGGAACATAAAAGCGGATCCTCTCATGATTTTAAATGTTGCTTCAGACTAAAGAATGGCACGTTCGTCTCCGTTCTATCTTGGAATAAATCTCATTGGTTACTTCTAGAAATCTTTAATTTACAGGCAAAACAGTTCAAATGCCCAGTTAACTTTGACATTAAAGATCTTTCTTCGATCACGATCTTAGCAGATAGGAATGAAACTTGTCCAGAGGAAAACGTATTCTATGTCACACCTACAATCATAAAACATATTAAAAGACGTCCTAAAAATATAAGAAGTCGGAATGTTGGTGTATGTGTAAAACTTACATATGGATCTTTAGATGCTCAACGGCTGATAGAATGGTTTGAGATCCATAAATTGTTTGGTGTTGACAAGGTTATAGCATATACCTACCAATTGAATTCAAAAGCAGCAAAGGTTCTAAAATTTTATGAAAGAAGTGGAATGGCTCAGGTTTATGACTTCGACTTTCCCGAGAAAGGTAAGGTATATATACACATGGGGAATAAAGTAAAAGACATTCAATGGTAGATATTCGACGTCTTGTTTAAAGAACAATTTAGAAAGTAATAGAGTTCATAAAAAAGTTTATGAACATGAGCATTTTTTTAAAGTTAATTCGGAAGGATGTCCGTATAAATTTCCTGTTTGTTTTGTTCAGAACTATTAGAAAATATAGTTACTCATTTTGCCCTGTACGAAACAAAAAATCCCGTTTGTCTTGAAAGACAAAGTCATTTTAATATGCCTCTCCCGACAAAGGAAACGGAAACTAGTAAGCAAACAAAAAATATTTTGGAAACATAAAACAATTTTCACAACTATACTTGAAACTATGTGTTTATCTGAACGAATATTTTCAGATATCATTAAACGCAACATTGGTGATGAGAACGATCAATACTGGAATGATGAACAAGTGGTGTTATTTGACTGCCAGGAACGACTTAGAAATTATGATTATGTTGCAGTCGTCGATACAGATGAGTTCTTACTACCGAGAACGAAACATTTCAAAAATGCTTGGAAAATATACTTAGTAAGTGACTTTTAAAGTGGCCGGACATCCGGCGAATAAATAAATATAACAAAGTGTATGCTATGTGCATTATAATTTACTCTATCGGAATTGGCTTTATGTCTGGATCATTAACATAGAATGAATAGTCAGTTTTTCGTATTCAGCATTACAAATTTAAATCAAAACCTTTCCAAAAGAACTGAATAGACTGTCTTGCATATAGACTGGTGATTCCGTTAGTTTTACCCATGCCGGAAAATTCATCTGTAAAAGCCAGATGAGGGGCGTGCTATACAATGGTATGCTTAGGATGGCATTATTTCGCCGTTATGATTGAAGTTGTAATTTCATATGCTGTTGTAAGAAAATAGTTACGGGTGTAATGACAAAAATGTTCATGGAAAATTGTTTGATTAAGAAAAAAAATTTAATATATGAAGAAAAATGGAAGAATATGCAAGAGAATATCTGACACATGTTTGCGGTTGGGATCGGAATATCCGTCCCCCGGGAACCCGCCTATAGTCCGATCCGAACCGCAACATATGACAGATATTATTAATACATCTTATTCCACGAATATGTAAATGGTACCAATGCCGATTTTTTTTGCGCTTAGTGCCTACACTCGGGTAGACACTTTATGCATTATTTGTTCTTTTTGTAATTTCTAGGAAAATAAGTTTAGGAAAGATAATGTTGGAGCGTTGTTCTTTTCCGTTAGAATCCATGCATATACGTGGGGACCGTCAAACAAAAGCCATCCGCTTCATATCGGACGATATAGCAACTGTACATTTCCAATGTATGACAGAACTAAGGGTGTATATATGCCATCTCGAATACGACAAGGAAGTGTGTGGACTCATGGAGCTTATCCGTTACAGGGTTTTACGAGGTAATTTAATTATCGTTTCTAACTCCCTAGGCTCATATAAGTTTACGGCAATAGCGAAATTGATGGCAAACTATTATGTAATACACCTTGGATAACCAAAAATATTTTGCATATTTCAGAAACGAAATATTGAACACATATGAAAATAAATTGAATACATTCGTACAAATACAGAATCATTTTAATGTAAATAGAAATGAATATTTGTACTACTATGAAATCATTGCATCAATCCCTAAAACACTTGTCAGTAACGCTTAGGAAAACGATATTTTAGATACTTTCATTACTTTTTGAAACACAAACTTTAAGAGCGTAAGCAATAATCGCACAAGAATTAAAATTTAATAAAAAGTATCTTTAAAAAGATACTAGGCCGAAGTCAAACTTGTTAATTTGCATAGGATAAGCTACTACTAACAATGCTTACCGCAAACAGAACATTTTATTCGTCCTCAATAGTTTAATTTCAGTTCATTTTTACCCGCAATGTTTTCCCCATTAATTGTCATCTTAGATATAAACAACATTATTTGATTTTAATCACAATGGAATTTAATTTGAATAGGAATTTACAATAAAACAAAGATGTAGTAGATACTGTACGCTAATTCCATGGAAAAGCTTACTACTGTAAATTAGTCGACAGTTCGTTTCAATCTTCTTATGCCCGGTTCGAGAAGAGAATATAATGACTAGAACAGCTTAGAAAAGAAACCCAATCCAACGTAAAAATATCAAAAAGGCGTTCTGTCATATTTAATTTCATATATATATTGAAAAGCTGTTAGAAACATCTAGAAAATATCATTATTGTCTTTTTATATTTATTCTGACTTATATCTTTTTCCAACACTGCTTGCCATCGCGCAATCGAACAGACCTCTACCTATAACGGAAGTTCTTCTTAAGTATCAATCGAACAGGCTATTAGTGTTTAAATGACAAATGAAAATTCTGCCTATATTCATTTCTTTATTGTTCATTTTAACGGAAGTAAAGGTGACATCAGACGGCCTTTGGCCGAAAAAAAAAATAAACTAAGTAAAAAATCTAAATAAGAACTGGGAGTAAAAACGTAACAATAATTTGAATTGGAATGCAATGAATATTTGACATTTTTATGATGCAAAGACACTGGACTTTAAAATGTTCAATAAAAGTTTATCCATAGATATGTGGCAACAAACTATTTTTACATAAATCTAAAATCTTCGGATCAACTTTATGTTCTTATTGTTCTTCTGTCATTTACGATATCGATTATTTCATTTGGGAATGTCCATATATACAACAGTATTGGAACGAAGTGTTTAAATTTATCAATTACAATAACTAAATATGAACAAAAATATTTTATGTGTATCCATGATAATAAATTAATCAACTATATACTTTTACTTGCAAATGCAAACACTTCAAATCCAAACAATCTATCTTTTTTCAACCTTTTTTTTATCCAAAAAGGGGAAATCAATTAGGATATGACCAAAGTCCATGCAATTGACATCATGTCTTCTTGTATTATTTTATACCAACTTTGAATGTATATGCAAAGTGATTTTGTATGGTCAGTATGGGATTATCCTCCGACCCAAGTTGACAAGGACGACTCAACAAGCATAAATTCAATGAAAACATCTTATTAAAAATGTAGAAGTAATACATTTAAATGTTCATCCATAAATTATTTCTCTTTTCCTTGCCCCTTGTTCACTACTAATTTATTGTTTTCGCTAAAGTTGGGTTCATTTTCGCTTAAGTTGAGTTTTACGTTATATGTACAACACAGTAACGGCAACATAACAAATTTTTCGTTAATCCGTTAAAAGTGTGTCTTTATCAGACACCCGAGTAGCGCCAGCTAACTTGGATGTGAAAACAAATGCTTCTTTAACCATAATAATGAAAAAATGGAAAATTAAACAACAACATGCCCAGCTTATTTGTCAAAGTATGTTCTTATTTTTTCAGTTACGTGGCGAACATGGGAGAAGCCGTTATACATCATTATAGACACTGTAGAAAGGAATGGTTGAAGACAAGTTCCACACGTTTTCGCCTTTCAGAAATGTATCTGTTTCATATGAAAAACATGACTAAATGCACCGATTTTCGTCGGTCCCATTCCGATGTTATTGGTCAACTGGCTGACACTATCAAAAATGACGTATTTAGAAGACTAGAAGAAATAGAACTGTGAATTTAATGTTATTTCACGGACATTTACGTAAGTCAGAACATTAAGCAATACAATATCACAACAGTGTTTTACTCCTTGCATGTATGTATAATAGACATGAAAAATAGAAAAGCAAACATTCCTCATTAAAAATTAGAAAAAAATGCTGTTGTCTTAATCATCTTAATCAAAGGATTATTCAATACTCCTTTTTTAATAGGGGCTTTTTTCAGTTTAACATAAAAAACATTTTCTAGTTATATTAGGTCAACAGGTATAAAATTGTCCAAAAGCATGATCGACAAGAAAATATACCATCATGGCATGCGATAAAACTCTTTTAATAGTTGTATAGGTATATCACATCATACTTATACAACCATTTGTTTGTATTAACACATAGTAATATTTGTCAGGTGCTGAAGCATTGAAAAGGCTATTCAAGTCTTTTGATCTGTTGTATTCTGATTTTATACTGCTAAATGAAGTACCAAAATCTATGGTGGATAAAAATAAAAACACTCAATGGGCAGATAGTAATAAATATAAGCACGCAACTAGGTTATGATTAATTTTGACCAGTTATGGATAGATTGATAGGGATTGACTGACTTGTAGATTTTTCAGCGATTCCATTAAATGTGTTCATATGGAGAGACCTTAGAATACCGCTATGGAATAATAATAAGGCTATGAGGCTATGAGCGGGTCATCACATGTCTCATGTGGAATTTCATCCTTTGTTAGGTTGGTCAAATTTTAACGCTAAAACTTTGCTCCCCCACACTGGAACTCAAAAAACGGTCACAGGGGCTGCTGGGATGCTTTCAATTTCAATTGAAGGGTACTCTGAGAGATGCCAGTGGTCAAATCGTGATAAAATGAGAAGTGTTTTGATTGACTACAGGGCAAAATCTACATTGCAGAACAATGATGAGTAACAGTAATATATGAGCTGTGTCATGACAAAACCAACATAATGGGTGTGCGACCAGCATGGATCCAGACCAGCCTGCGCATCCGCGCAGTCTGATCAGAATCCATGCTGTTCGTTTGCCAACCCTATTACAAGTAGAGAAACAGATAGCGAACAGCATGGGTCCTGATCAGACTGCGCGGATGCACAGGCTGGTCTGGATCCATGCTGGTCGCAAACCCATTATGTTGGTTTTGTCATAACGCGGCTCATATTTCTTGATACGATAGAACATAAGAGACTCTGGCGCTCTACCTCTAACCATTTAGTTATGGTCGGGTGGACAGACTTTGCTTAATGTTAGGAGTAAGGATAGCTGCAGAAAAAGCACTACAAATATAACAGCTAAATTGGGATCTACTTCGGCGACGCGAGCTTTAAATAACAATTTCTGTTACATACTTAATACGAATATGGATGAATTTGTAAATTCATACGCTTCTTTTAGAAAATAGTATCGAAATAAAACATTCTAAAAATAAATATCTGACATGTATTTGCGGTTCGGATCGGTATATCCGCTCAATGGATGGGTACCCTCTGGACGGATATTTCGATCTGAACTGCAACATATGACAGATATTATAAATTTGAGCACAAGTAAAGAACGGAATGCATTATATGAACACATTGGTCCGGTAACTTGCGATGCTATTGTAGTGTTGCTTAAGAGTTCCTTAACATTCATTTTCACCAAAAAAGTCTGAGAAAGTCAATTTATTACCTAAACAAATGACTACGCTATGCATGCATACTCCCAGCATATGGTATACATTTTGCGTAAATTCTAATTTGTTGACAATATTATTCATGCTTGACAAACTTTCAAGCTCTTGGGCTGAAATAAAGGTACAATGTTAACAAAACCGGAAATTTTCTAGATCGTTTAACATTTTGCGTAACATGATTTATAAGGTCGTAAATTATGGTAATGGCACTCTTCCGGTTTAACAGAAGTACACTTCAGTTGTCCACTATCACTTTATAAGCGTGTTTTAATGTAAACAATATAAATTTTAAAAAAAGAGTGATAAAACCCAACAAATAAAACGTTTTATTAAAACTTTGAGTAAACGATCGGATAAATCTAAAATTTGTCTCAACAGGTGGTTAATTATTTGTATTGGAAGATTTATTATTGGAACGTTGGAACAATCACTAAGTACATTCAAGAACAATTATATCGTTTAAATTGTTTAAAATTGGACTCTAGAATTTCATGACAGGGATTGTGTGACAAGGACCATTATATTCATTTATTAATGTTTTCATTTTGTCACAAACAAAAGAGGTGTGCTAACTTACACTGTGATCAAATTCTCATGAAAATGAACCAAGCAGAATTAAAATGTTTTAGCTATGTCTTTGTTTATGTCTTGTGTTTCAATCACTGCATCTTCAAAGATCGCGATGTCAGGCATCGCCCAACGCATCGTCATGTTCTTTGGGTTTTAATGAACCAATCGGTTGATTACGCACACATCATACGTATAACATGTATTCATTTATATATTACATTTATATATTATCTTCATATAAATAGTCTAAAACGTATGTAAAATTTATATAGCACTCTACTTCTGTTTCGCAGCAATGCAGGTAAACACTTCTCATTTATTCAAAGCACGGATACCCTCTTAGCATGGTACGGACGCAAAATTTGGAAATGTGACTTGTAAAAGTACATTTAAATCAATTTTGAACTTTGGGTGTACATATATTTAAAGTTTATGTCGAAGGGTTTTTAAATAACACAGAATCCGATTTATTTTTAAATAGAATAATTATATTTTGAACACCATCTATCACGTTTACTTGGCGTTGAACTTGCCGGGCACGTAATTATTAGTGTATCAACAATATTTTTGTAAATTATCACAATAAGAATTATTTACGTCGAGTTTCCTATAAAAATACATCAACTTGATACAACAATCGAGGATAAGAAATTTCTACAAAATAAAATATTGATAAAATATATAAATTAAACTAAATATAAATTCAAAACATGATAGAATAAACTAAATGTCTTTTGAGAACGACGAAATAATATATTTACCGAAAGTTGAATTCCTGAAAACATTATACATGTAAATCACATATCAAATAGTGGATATTTACAGCGATGTACCCTTATGTTTTTATCCATGCGTATAATTTCTAGTATCGACTTGTGATAACAATACAATAGAATTCCATTACAGCAAGGCACTCTTATAAGCTTCATCCAGTATTGTCATTTTCAAATTCAAGAACACTGTCACTATCTTGTTTGTTAAGTGTAAACGGTAATAAATTTCTTTTATCGTTCTTCAAACAGCAAATATTTGAATGCATTTTTATACTGTTATCATTGATATCAACCCATTTTTTTTAAATATTGAAACGGATCATAGTAGTTTGATTGTTTATTTGTGTCATCGTATAACAATAGTTATAGATCATTACCAATATTTTATGAAGTCTAATATTTTTACACTACAAGTAATAAAATTGATCAATGACATCAAAGCAAAACGATTAAAGACACGTTATGCCTCAGAAATCTTTTTTTTTTAAATTCTTTAGAAATGTAAAATATGTGTTTAAAAAATGTTTACATCATGAATTATTAAAGTGCATGTTAAATGATTTACGACTAAAAAAAAATTGCTGAACATGCAGTTATGTACCGAAGGTAACAAATTATAAACAAAGTAGTATTTTGACTTCCATACAAAATACTATTCACTATTATCATACCAATTGCCAACATAGCTAAATATGAAAAAGACAGTGCATGTACATAGCAAATGAGTATGTTTTAGGTAACTGTAACAAGAAAAAAACAGTTTTGGAGAAACAAAAATGATAGCATTTCTAAAGTATAATGGACCTTAAACCAAATATTTTTCATTTGACGTATTGTTTTGCACTAGCTGAGCACTTTCTATATGCTCTGCGACTACACGGGATGGGTGATCACGTGACAATTGTTTACATTTGGTCACCGCTAATGGTATTTGCAGTTTTTCGTTATATCAGAATAAACATGTACCATATTCCAGATAAATATGTTCCGATTCAACTGGTATATTAAACTTAACGAGAAGCACCAAAACACTTGAGGCATTCTTTATGGAAAAGAGAAACGCCATTTCACAAGCGGTGAAAAATAAAACCTGACCTGGGCATGCATGAAACGACTGTATCAATGGGTCGCCGAAAGCAACGGCTACATATTGTTATTCAACTCAAATTAATTTTTAACATAAACAATCAAGTATTTCATCCTATTCCAATAATAAATACTAGAAAACTCCGGAAACACCTTGCAATCAATAAAACATTTTGTCTTCATTTTTTTATTTTATAAATTACTAACCATGTCCATAAAAAAGAAATAAAAGTAATAACTGACACAAAACAAAAGAATTTACATACATTTACTAGGGCTTGTAAGCCTTGTGGGTCAGTGGTGAGGAGCGCTATATACTCAGCAAATAGAAAACAAAAAAAACATACATAACTGGTTAAGATCATTATCAGTAAGATAGTTATGATCAATGTTAGCACATATATGGGGGCAGGGGACATATTCGAATGATGGCCCCGGTCAATTTTTTTAATAACTCAGTCATGGTGTTTTGAAGGTACTGATAATTTCTGTTATTTCTCTGTCATTGTAATTCTTTCTTGTTTGTGTGTAGGAAATGAGAAGTATTTTTGGGTTTTTACCATTAAGCATTTTGGTAGCTTTGTATGTATTTCTGACTCTCCGAATGGAGGTGAAAAAGTTAAAAATCAAGCTTTGACAGTTGGCGCCAAACAAGTAAGAAATTTCAGATAAATTTTGTGAAAAATCTAAACGTATGACAGACACTTTATTGGTCATTTTTGAAAATGCCATAGCTTTCACTGCGTGTTAGTGATATATTTAAAGGAATCGGGCGGATTCTGGAGTATGCTGCACCTTCATGAAGATTGCCCATATTGGTATATTTTAGGTGTGATTTTGGCTGGGTGGGGGTAAATATAAATTACTGTCAGTCATTTTTTGAAGGAGCAATGCATGCAAACTATTATTTTCTTCAATGTATGTCATATATCATTGAATAATGCTGTGCAACTAGTTAGGTATCTGCCTGTGAAACAGATTTTGAAATATTTGGAATTGTGTTTCTGGTGACACTGAAATACAAAATTGTTCATTTTTAGGTCCCCTGCCCCCTATCATTTGCAAAGAGGATAAAAATGGCGAGAGTGGTTCTCCTTGTTTTAATCCAAATGTAATTACTAAATATATGTATATATAGGTATATACTTCCAAACTTTTCTTGGACTAATTTCATCTATGGAAGATAACTTAACCATTTACCCATAATTAAAGTAACACTTTACTTTCTTTTTTACTTTCTTTTAAACATTGCAAAAAGCAATTCTACAATGCAAAATGCTAGCTAAGAATATTGATGGAAAATTGTTTTATTATCCAAGAAAAATGTTGTCGCCAGTTTACAACAATAATCTAACCTTGGCTCTTTTTTAATTACACGTTTAGGCTTTTTAGTGTTCAAAGTTTTACCATTAATTTTTAAAAGAACATCATATACAATATCTGTAAAGTTATCAATATCAATTTTATTCGAAACTAATTCATCTTTCAATTCATTCAATGGCACATTTTTATCGTTCAACAAAGACTTTAATAATTTGGATCAGTATCAGTCCGTCACAATTTATAATAATTTAATATAACAGTGTGATAAAATATCATAATCATATAAATGCTTTCAATCTAATGAAGATGCAAGTTTATTGTAGAAAGTCACCTCTTATCTCCTGTCTCACTAAATACATGTAAAGTGTTGACTTACTAATATGCCATATGGACCAGCAGGCATGAAAACTGTTAAGGACCAAATTGGCCTTTTTCCATTTACTCGGTATTTACTTTCAATGAATATACAATTTTATAAAATTGTTTTTATGGGCAAAGTCATCCTTTCAAAATAATCTGTATATAAATCCTCATTGAGTTTATTTTTCATTTCGACAAATCAAAAATAAACACTAAAAAATGTAATTGCCCGCACAACGAAATGTTGTTGTTGTTTTTTGCTGTGTTTTCTTCTTCTTCGATTTTATGTTTTAAGAAATGTTGAACGGAATTTGAAGTTATTAGTCTTGAATTAAATTAATTTTGAAACAAATTTTGTTTTGTCGTGATATTGTCATACATTCTGATTTCATATCTTTGAAAGTTTTTTATGGCCTCCCCTGGTGATAGTCTAAGACATCAGGTTGCCTAGTTGATGTAATAATGTCAGATGACTTATTTATACAAAAACTTCCAAGCAGTAGAACAACCCTTGGTTAACCAATAATCAGTCATCAACGATCCCCCATTCCTCATCCATCTATATTTTTCTGGAAATAGTTATCATGAAACAATGCTTATTGTTCTATCTTCTTTGAATATTAATGTTTAACAATTCAGTTATTGGCAACTAAACACTTTGCAAAATTACTACAATTCAAATTGATATGTATTATTCATAATAGAAACTTTGCCTCTTTCATGTGGACTATAATTATATATATATACTCAGTGCTCTTATAAATGTCAGCGATATACCAGTAAGATGGTGAAACAAAATTTAAGCATTGAAATTTTAAAATATTCACGTCTTTGCAATTTCTGTGAGGCTTTTTTGTCTAGGTAATTGAAAGGACCGAATCAGTAAAGTGCTGAGATTCCTTCTTCTCATCTATAATAGGAATACATTTTCTTTGTTATGCCATTACATATATAATTATATATTGAAGATTAAATTTGTTTGAAGTTTTTCTACGCAACATTCCATGTCCACCTGTATCATTTTGTATTGACATGCTATTGAAAAAACTGATGAAACTTCTTTGCCCTTTGCTGTGTAAACATCTTATGCAATATCATACAAATTTAAGAGAAGCTAAGAGTTACGGTGTAGCAGAGTGGTTAACGCGTTGGACTAGTAATATAAGGATTAATAGCCGCTAAGGTTTAAACCCCGTTAGGGCAAGGCCGTTGTTTCCGTCAGCAAGACATTTTACACTCCTTGCTTAGTACCAATTGGTTCTGGAAACGGATTCAAGAGTTTTTCAATAAGCCCATAGCTTCCAACACAATCGAACTAAAATAAATGTGTATGAACTAAATTTAAGAGAAGACAGTGCAATGGCGTCTTTACATTATATTTCATTTAATTAATTATCGTATATACTTAGGTTAATTAACCAAAGCTAGATCTAAAAAATAATGGTGAAGGTTGATTATATCTTTTAAATGTAGTTATAATTATGATAATTATTAAGTTTGAAAGTAATGTCAGAAAGCCGAATACTTCCTAATTATCCAAGTAAATACTTTACTCAAACCCATAGTTCCCTAACTTGTGACTCAGTAGGCATTCATTAACAAAACAAAACAAAAATAAAAAGAAATAAGTTAAATATGAAAAGTGTTGATAAATAGCTTACTTCACTCGTAGAAGTTTCACCTGGATTTCTTTATAAGTCATATATAATTTGTGTTCTAGAATTCAACGCCCTTGAATATTTATTCGTTCAGTGTATGTTAAGCGTTAAATACATCGTTTAATTATAATTATATAATATTAGTGAGATTTTTTTCTTGTCTTTCTTCATAACTTGTATGTCTTGCATTACTGATCAAACTGAACCTGCGACATTTTCAGTTTTGCCGTTAGGGCGTTCTTTAGGGCAGTCTTTTTCTCTTACTACAACATTTTTGTATCAAATAAGATGTTTTTATTTTGTTTAATATTTTATGAAATTTTACAAATAATTCATCTTTTAATAGATGAAAATGACATAAAACGATATCATAATTGAAGAGCACATCAGCAAAAGTATAAAAATATTATAACCAATGATCTATAAAGCATGAAAAGTTTGTTTGTAACACTTAGATGTCTTTACTTCCATACTGTCTCATTCGTATCATAGTCACAAAATTTATCTCGCCTCTCCGCATATCATTACAGTCAGATTTACCGATAGTAAAACTTTTACCCCACCTACTTTCCGCCACAAACAAAGGGCGGACAACTTTAGTCTGAGAACAATATTCTTGTGTTCTCTTCCTTAGATCCTTAAACGCCAGTAGCTCTTCATCAAAATCTACACCTTGCTCCCGAATCTGTTTCCGTAAACGAATATAGAAGAAATTGTACAACGCATAATCTACTTTTGCATACCTGCGATAGAAATCGCGATCAAAGGTTTGTGAAAGCATAGATTCGTTCTTTTTATGCGCAATATTTAAGTTTAAAAATAGAATATCTTTTGTTTGCCACCCTAATAGTCTTCTCATTAAAACTACAGAATCTTCCATGTACTCAGCAATCATCACAAGCGTAAATTCTGTATCCAGCTTCGCCAAGTAGTTGTTCACTATAGTTTCATTATATACTGTGAAAACCGACTCCGGAAAGCCAAATTCAACGGCCATACGATTGTTAGTCCAGGAGCTGGACACACGTCCTTTTGGCTCAAATTTCTTAGGATCTCTTAAAAATGTAGATGCAGGATTTGGACCTTCGATTTTCTTGAAAATATATCTTGGTCTAAAATAGTTTAAGATTGACTTATATAATTCAAAAGGTTCCCTGATTATTCCTATATACGCAGTATCACTTGGCATAAATTTAGAGAACGCTTCTTTTGTGTAGAATACATGATTGCACAAAATGTCATAATGTTTATTAGGCGGTGGTGGTAAAATGTTCGAATTTGTCAGCGACTCTCTCAAACTTATAATATTAGGATAGCCAAATGGATTCTTGGCCGGAGATAGGACAAATGTAAGTTGTTTATTCCATCCGTATCTGAGAAATATATTCTGAGCAGTTGAACTTGCAGCTTTATGCACTTTAAGGAAAGCAATATGTTGGATTTCTTTTTGAAGAACTTGTGTTGGTTGTCTAACAGAGTCGATAACATTTCCCTTTTCATGTTCGATATGTGTATCCTTTTCAAAAATTGGATTGGGTACTTTAATCTCAGGTTGCAACTGATGTAATAATTGTATTTTATTTTGAAACAGCTTTGATTGGTTGGAAATAGTCACATCTACAAAATTTAAACAAAATAATATTGTCCCAATGGCAGTCAGTAGTATCCTGAAAATAAAAGAAAATTGGAATTAAATTCAAATTATTTCCTCTTATTTTCAAAATAGGGTGTTTTGAACCTTAATACATCTTATTATAATAGTTATACAAATGAACGTGAACATTTTTAATGTTCATATAGGTATAAAAACGAGGTAAAGGTGGGCATATACAGTCATAATAATGCAGAGTCGGTCTACAAACTCATAAGGTGCGTTATTTGATCACTTAAATCAACAGTTGGCAGTTCCAACAAGACAAGTTTATTTCAATCTATCAAAGAAATCCAAAAATATTGCTTTCCTGTACAATCAATGTAATTTTTGCTCGCCACGATAGATTTTCATGTATGGTCAATCAACTGTACTGTAGTAAACAGAGTTTAATATAATTGTAATTTATAATGTACTTGAAATATTGAGAAATATTGATGAAATAAAATGCGTATTTTTCATAAACATTTAAACATATTTACCGTATTTTTACTGGAAATATTTTTAAAGTATTTTTACTTTATATTGTAATGTCAAAAAAGAGAAAAATGAATCTGATAAACAGAAAATTCTTTTTTCTCTCTAAATACAGGATTTATTTTCATCTTGTGGTATAAAAATTATCATATTTCACCCATGGCTACCGGTACTCGAGCATGAAATATTTATTGGCATACCACTCGATGATCCTCTATATATTTGTCATTTTACGGTATCTAATAGATCAACAGAATATATCACTATATAAACATATACAATAACAACAGATACTGGAAGAAATAAACAACGAATTATTTTTTTTTTCATTGACTTCGTATACTCTTTTAAAAGTTATTGTTCGACAATTCGATTTTAAAACAGTTTGAAGAGACTTTTCATATTCTTAATATGTAAATGACAGGAAGTAAATTAATGATATTTGTTCAATATAGTGAAACAGACTCGATACCGAGTTCCAATACATGTTGTTCTTGTTATAATGGTAATTGTAAAATTACAACAGTATAACAAATAAAACTATTTGTTACATGCCATTATTTACATTTATTGATGTGCTTTCTTTTCATAATACTGAAATCTATATATAGATTTTGCCTTATTGTCTGTTTTACAGTTAATATTTAGATTTAATTGTCTGTAATGATACATGATGCATACTTGAACTGGTTTTGTTCTAGAATGAACACCACTAAGGCAATTATTATACATGTATATATTTCAAAATCAAGACCTATCAAACATGTTTGTGTCCCCTGCAACAGAGTAGCAATTTACTGAATGATCAGTATCATATCATCTGCATTTTCCGGTTCAATTATTTTTGTCAAAGATATGACCTATTAATTATTTTTATTTTTAAATTTCTGTCAACTTCTTTCTACTAATGGAAACTTTACAGGATTTATCGGTACCTCAAGTACTTGAGCATATTAAACGGGTTTCCGGTTGAATAATTATGACCGAGTTATTGCACTTGAATAAAAAGAGAGTTTTACCCTGTTAATGAGTTTTTGTCTTTTGACAAGTAGATGCCACTCGATACATGTGATCAATGATCGCTATTGTACTGTAAATCAGGTATAGAGAATAAACTTAAAACATAGCTTGTCCCCAAAAGTATCATTGTCGATGTTTAGGCAACAAACTTTGGGAACTTATAGAATTAAAAAAAGGTGTGTGTTTTTTTATATAAAATATGGACTTTTATAATGACTCATTTTCAGATATTTCAAAGTCCCATCATTGTCATCTCTCGCTGTATTTGAATCTTTACCGCTTCTCCTGCTGAATTTGTGTAATAGATTTGGACTGTTTTAATTTTGGAACATTCCGTTTAAGGTTTAAGGATATTTAACATTATACCAGTAATACAAAAACTGAGCCCCAGGACCAGACTACACTATAGCTTTATTTCAACAATACAGTATAAGAAGTCAAATAAATCTAAAATATGTTCATAACATATAAAGCAGATATCTGGGAATTTAGTAGCTTTTAAATAAATTCTATATGAAAATACAATTGTTTTGAAAACTTGAAGCATTGAGGCAGGTTCACCTGTTTTTTACAAACTTATTATTGAAACTCCCTTTGCCGTACAAATTTGCGCATGCATAAAGCACCTTTACTGAGATACATACCGGGAACAAATTTATACATTTCTTCTTTAAATTTTATTAGTGCAGCTAATTAAAACCTAAAATAATTGATCGATAAATTAACGAATACAAGACGAGTACAAAAATGCACATAGACACACAATGCATACATGGGCTTATTGCTATTAGAAACCCGGCCAATACAAATCAGCCAATCACCAAAAGGTCGTCCGTTATCTAAATAACGTAGACAACAGATTATTTATATATAAGTCTGCAAAACTGTTCGATTGCGGAAATGTTAAATCAAATACAAAGTGAACAAGTATTGTTGATTATTCACGGGTGAAATGTTTGCCAGCAATTTCATATTTTCAGTTTTATATTGTTACAAAAACAAGTGAATCTGGCAGAATAAACACAACTTAATATTCATCATACATTTGCAGAACAAAATGCCAATTTTCAGGGTTAGACAAACAAGTCTCTGAAAGTTCCATCATTATGTATAGACAATCCCACAAAGGGAGCTCTGATTGTTCAATTGACAAGAATGAAAATTCGATAACATTACGATCGTGTTTAAAGTATAAATCGATGGTTTCTTTTATCATACTTAAAATTCCAATATTCTATGATTACTCTTTGATGTTTAATTGTAAATATTTTCTAACTTAATATCAATAATCAAATTATATTTAGCTTGTTGTAACTTATTACATCGGAAGCATTCCAACTATAATGACAATATTCAATAATTCGTAAAGGTTCGTATTTTGTGAAATACTTGAATGGCTATACAGAGTTGTCATATTTTATCTTATTTTGTATCTATGTTTTATGTGTTTGCAATCATGTATAGATAAGATTGTAATAAAGATGCTATCTCACATCACATTACTTCATATCCCAACATGCCAACTATTATTTCACATCCTAACACACAAGCTAGTATCCCACATCGTAGCATAATAGCTATTTTCTCTGTTCGTATCATACTAGCTATTATTTTACATTGTACAAACTTAACTCTTAGACTAGTATATCACATCTTATCATACAAGCGATTATCTCACAGCATACTATATATTATCTCACATAGTAGCTTCCTAGCTATTATCTCAATTTGTAGAATACTAGCTATTATCTCAGTTCGAAGCATATTAGCTTTTATCTCAAGTTGTATTAAAATAGCTTTTATTTAATATAGATTCTGAAACATATTAATTTTTATCTCAGTTCGTAACATTCTAGCTATTATTTCACATCGTATGATACATGTGATTATTTCCCATCTTACAATACTAGCTTATACCTAATACAGCACCATGGTACCTGTTACCTTTATAAATATATATAAAAAAAAACAATGCATATGATGTTGGTAAATAAAAAATACAAATTACTTACCAAGGTTTCTTTACTTTTAGCACCTTGCAGGGAACTCTCATCTGAAGATAGCAAAACAAAAACTACATGTCGAATAAAATTACTCATATGCATTTGTATATCATCATCATCATCATCATCATCATCATTACTACTACTATTATAATTGCGAATACTATTATATTATAATAATAATAATAATAATAATAATTATTATTATTATTATTATTATTATTATTTTTATTATTATTATTATCAATATATTTTTATTGATATGTGAAATAACTCTTTTTTATTCTAATTACATTCAATATCATTATAAAACTAAACGAAAATTAAAAAAGAAAATGAGATAACAAAAACAGCAAAAAGACACAAAATACTCGTATTCTATAGTTTTTTCAATCATTAAAAAACTCATATTAAACAACGTACTATCGTGATGTTATAAATAAACGAATATGTAGTTAAAACTCCAATAAACAAATCTAAATGTTAAAAGTAAATATTTATAACTCACCATCAGCGTTGTTTAAATCCTTAAATGTCTGGTTACAGTTCTCCACATCTATGAAATTATTATAATCTAAAAGTTTCCACGCAATAAGTGTTCCCCTTAATTTGTTTTGTTTCCAGAATTGTTTGTTTAAAATGTTAACAAATTAGATATCGTATATTAATCAGTACGTGTACAAAAATAAATATTTTATGACAATGAAATGGTCAACTAATGATTGCAATCTTTAATTAACTTCCAGATACTGATCTACAAGCGGTAACATTGTGACGGTCATAATTGAACCATACATTAATTAAATCACTGTCAGCAATGAAAACTGCTTCAAGCTATTAGAAAGAATAGTACAGAACAGAACAATAGTATTAACTAACTTTAATTACATGTAGCAACACAGAGTATCCAATACATGGCCTATCAATGCATACTATATCAATATACTATTAATTAAGTAACATGGCAGCTGAGCTTCGGAAGAAGTACTATCAATATTTATATTAATTAGACAACATATTATTTAAAGGATTGGGATTCGGGGGTAGATGTCAAATATGTTGGTGGTTGTTTTACAGTATTAGGATTATTAAAAAATATGACTGAATTATTTGTGAGTAGTTGCCTGAATTTTATCATATTAGGTCTATTATAATAATGTCTATGAATATATTTTTACGTTTGTCATTAAAAGCATTGTAACAGATAGTGAAATTCGTCTGCTATGTCAAAAGAATCACAAACTAGGCATTTACGTTCAGAAGGGTCTTTCAAATATTTGAAAGACGCTGCGTTCATGTATTCTTTGCATGTTTGAACAAGGAAACGATCATTCTCTATTCTAAATTTTAAATGATAAGTATTTACTTTAAGTAAACCTCATTCTTATACTTATAGATGCATATTGATGAAATAAAATGCGTGTTTTTATTTTTAGTATTTTCACTATAAAAATTTACTTTCACTGCAATGAAACATATTTACCGTATTTTCACTGGTGTTGTGCCGGACTACTTTCTTCTAAATTCAGCCAACAATCAAAATTAAAAGGGAATTCCTCCTATTCATAAGGTTAAAAAAAGAGGAAAAAGTAACAGAAAATTCATTTTTTTTTCTATAAATACAGTATTTATCTTCTTGTTGAATGAAAATTATCATATTCCACCCGTGGCTATACTGCCACTCGTGAAATATTTATTTTCATACCACTCGAAGAAAATGCATCCTGTATTTATAGAAGTAATTTTAATATCCTCTATATATTTAGATTTAGACGGTAATTTTCAAGTTTCATAGAGTCATTAAATATAAAAATTATTTCGTCTTTCATTAAAATTGTTAAGAGACGAATGTCTTGTTTGCAGGTTTTGATCTCATATAAGACTTGTTTCACGGTATTTTTAATAGTTTGGCTATTTATGTCTCCTTGTTTAAGCCATGAATCAAAACTGCCTACTTCATTTAGAATTTCTTTAATCTTAAGTATCCAATTAGGTTCAAAGTTTTATTTTCATACACTGGCTAGTTAAAAAAGTTAATTTTGATTTCCGGTCACCAGCCTATTCCAATCACCCTACATATAACTGTTAAACCAGATAGGGTGTCTGGCAGTTTCTGCGTACAACATGCATAATGTTCTTAAATGTAATATTTTCCTAGAAATTCAAATTGATTTTTTTAGCATTGTCGAGCTTTCATATCCCCATACCTCAGCGGAGTAAATTAGAATATGCAAGATGGTATGATCAAATAGCTGAAAGCACGAGGTCAGTTGGTGAGAGATTGTAGCTTCTCTGATAAACTATTAAAGTGTAATGCCTTTCTTGCCTGATCAGCCAAGTGTTTCCTTTTACTAAAAAAAACTACCTAGTTTAATGGAATATACTCCCAAGGTTCTTATATGAGTCTACTTAATGTGTATCACCAATAATGAAGTTAAAAATATTATCATTTCTTGACCCAATTACAAGAACTTAAGTTTTACTTACGTTAATGTTAAGATTCCAAATATTATAATATTGTACAATGTCGTTAAGACATTCCTGTAATTTTACAGGTTCTTCATATATTAAGACTGCTTCGTCAGCATTTGAGCGTTTGTCAAAAAAGCTATAGGCCAAAATCGTAATGGAACATTTGTTATTGTTTAATGATGTTTTTGTTTCTATATATTGTTTAGATGGCCACATTTAAAATAAAGATATGTTAATTGTTTTCTACGATGGTATATCTTCATGGGAGGCCTTCTTTAAAATTAGCAGTATGGTGCGAAAGGTATAAGACCTGCTTTTTGTGTCTCTCGAAATTGAGTGGGTTTTTTTGTTGTTTTTTTTGTTGTTGGAAAAGTAAACTGACATTTTGGATTTTTATATCAGTGGAGAGGGAATTTAATCAGTGAAAGGATGGACCTAATATTACGATAATATAAAAAAACTAAAAGAGAGGAAAAAGGAAAAAAGTAGTGAAAGTGATGATGAACACAATTTGAGTAAATTATCAAAATTCAGATTATCACCATCGGCTACAGACCAGTCAATAGAGGTAAGCGAGGTTTTACGTGAGACGAAATCTATATTATACGAACAAGATCAAGAATCAACATCACAAGTAACTGTACCAGTCGATAATAGATTTGATGTATTGAGGGGTCAAGTCAACCCTGACAAAGCGCCTTCAATATGGAGGACATATCTGGTTGGTCTACAAATGCGGAAATTATTGCTACGTTAGGAACATAGAATTAAGCGATGTTGATAAAAAATCAAAGCACAGAAGGCGCTGAATTTGTTTGGGTCTAAGAATGTCAGAAAGGTGAAGGTTGTGAGATTATAAACCAATCTGTTTTTGTAAAGTGCCACCTATGCATTCCAGCGTTTTAATTGTAGTAAATTGGCTATAAGAGTAATTTAAACACTGATATTCAATTCAATGTGTATTTTACATAAACAATTTGAAAAAAAAATAAGTTGCCTTAACTGGGATTTGAATTCCAGACCTCTCACTTCCTAAGCGAGCGCGCAAACCCCTCGGCCACGGTGAATTTATTTGTTAACAGCCTGAAGAAAACTATATTATTCTATATTAGGGTTTGTAACGACGCTTACTGATGTTTGACAAAGATGTAAATAATCATGGAGCTTACTATGAGCATGTATATCTATAAAGAATAAAACAATATTAGAAATCTTCGACCATTCGGGAATTATTTTGCTTGAAAATTAATGCACCAGTCATTTGACCATCTTTACGCAGTGATCTCCCCTGAATTTTTCGGCGTTAGTTTACATATAAAGGGAAGTAACCGCTTCAAAAAAGTGGACTACTTTCGGCACTTGCAATTAACAGCATTAGAGTTTGAAATTTCGCTACCATTTTTTGTTTGGTCTGACGACCCAAACAAATAAAAACTTGAATCTCTGGAGTCTATTCAAAGAATGGTAGAATCAAAAGTGGAGTGGCTACAAAACAAAGTTGACAATTTGATAAAGGACTAAACCGTTTACGGTTGCATGTAGATTAAAAAGTTAAACTCAGTGATGAGAAAATTGATCGTGTAGAAAATCGAATAGCGTCTGCGGAATTGAAACAGGGGAAGCGTTTAAAATAATCGGCAATCTTTAGAAGAAAAATGAAGAGATGAAAGAATCCTTATTATACATACAGTCGCAATCAATAATCGTAATAATTTTATTTTTGGTGGGATTAAAGAGGAAGAATATGAAAAGCACAAAAAAAACTGAAGCCATTTTGAGAAATTTCATGGTGGAAATATTACAGCTCCCAAAAGATTTCGTGTCGAACATTAAAATTGAAAGAGCGCACGGCACGGGTGCTATATTAAGTGATCAAAACCATGCGCAAAACAGAAGTCGAAGAATCGTATGCAAACCGACATGGAAATTGTCCGTAAATCCAGCCATAAATTAAAGGATACTTATTGTTATATAACGGAACAGTTTCCCCGGAAGTTGTAGCAAAAAGGAAGATACTTTTCCGAAAGATGAAACAAGAAAAGGAAGCCGGAAATACAGCATGGGTGTCCTGCGAAAACTTTATGTTAATGGGAAAATAGTTACAGATGCCTAGTAAAAACGCGGAAGGGCTTAAATACGGACTGAACTATAACGGACTGAGTTCTAGTAAAACAACAGACAAAAACTTCACTGACTTTTTAACGAAAAATGACGTCATCATCTTAACTCAATCATGGACTAGTAAATCGAGTGAAATATAGTTGGAAGGGTTTCCATGTTATATATTTTTATCGTAAATTCAGACATCGCAATGCTGAAAGAAATAGCGGTGGTTTTGTTGTGTATCTCAGATATAATGTTAAGAACGGTATATTAATATATAAAATGTACATGACACAATTATTTGGTTAAAATTTGATCAATATTTCTTTAACAATGCTTCTGACATTTACCTAGCTGCGGTTTATTAATGGGGAGAAAACTCACCCACTGCAAATTTGATAGATATAGATTTGTACGACTGTTTGCAAAATGATAAAGAATATTTAAAGTCGAAAGGCACGGTGTTAGTTTCAGGTGATTGTAATTAATGCAAGGACATCATGCAAACATGGCTATATATTATGTGATAGATTTGTGACCGACATCGACTCCGATGTAGCACCCTTGCCAAGATTTTCAATGGACAAAGGGAGTAACTCATATGGTAATAAATTACTCGACATGTGCAAAGCTACCTCCCTTAGAAAAGCAAACGGTCGTTTTTACATCTTACAATGACAATGGTGCTAGCTTGATAGATTATTTATTATTGTGTGACAAATATTTTGAAATGATAAACAATTTTCATGCCCTATATTTTAATGAATTCAGCGACCATGCTGCTTTAAATTTTGACATTTTGTGTAGCTCGGTTCCAAAGTATTTAATTATGAGTATATCAAATTAAGTGATAATAATAAAGAATTATATCGTTCTGGAAAAATAGCAAAATTGCCTGTTTTAAATGATATATTATTGAATGTAATGTAAATGATGTAAACAGTGTAAATAATACGGTGAATTTATTCACGAGTGTTGTGAGGGAAGTGGCAAATCCTCTTTTTTTATAATATGGTTGTACATTTCCAAGATTTGATGTATTTGAAATTGATGATTTCTGTAAATAGTTTGATTAAGACTGTGGGGAAGCAAAACAATTGTACAAAAATGCATTAAACAGTTTAATATGTCACATACATAGACAGTTTAATATGCCACATACAGAGACTGGTCGATTAGAATTAGCTCATCTTAAAGATAGATATAAATATGGTGTTAAGAAAAACCGTCGTACTTTTAAATGGCAACAAAAAAAAATAAAAAAAGAGTAAGCGACGTGATTTTTGGCGCTATTTTAAAAATCAACAGGGAATTAATAATTTGTGAATACCTTTGATCGATTTTAAAACATATCTTGAAACTATGATCTCCGAGGTATTTTTTTCCCTTGA